TTTGGCTTTCTCTGCCCGTAGGCCCAGCCAGGCCTTCCAGCCAGAACTTCCTGTCCCCTCACCCCATCAGGGTGACACTACCTGAAGCTACCTGGGTCTGCTCCTTTCTACCTGGTACCTGTCCAGATGGATGTCTTGCTTCTGTGTCACGCTAGGTCACTCGAGCTGCACAGGGCACCCCACCACGGCGCAGTGCTGCAAATGCAGGGATGGGACCCTTAGGGCACAGCCATGGCACGTCGGGGAAATGCACAGCGCTCCCAGCGTGACATGAGGAACCCCACAGTTCACCTCTTCCACACACTCCTTCCTAGGTGCCCTTTTACTTTTAGAAACAAACTTCCCTCTTACAACCATAACTTTTCTTCTTGGCAGTACGAGGGATTGAACCCAGGCCTTCACCTTATCTATGTGCCCAGCCCCCACCCCCTTTTGTTTGATTCAAGGTCTTGCTGTGTAGTTCAGGATGGCTTTGAACTCACTTTGTAGCCCAGGCCAGCTTCAAACCTGCAGAGCTCCTGCCTCAGTCTCCTGAGTGCTCAGATTCCAGGTGTGTGCCACCAGCCCCCACAGAGCTTCTCCTCCTCCTCTAAGGGCCTCTTGAGTACCTCAGAACTGTATGAACCCAGGATTGTCTCCTGTATCAGGTAATTAGGAACCTCTATTACATCTGCCATGCAACTGAGCTATCCAGCTAGTATGGCATCTATAGGCTCTGGTGACTTAGTACAGAATCCCAGAGAGGGGTCAGGGAGATGGCTCAGTGGAATAAGTATTTGCCTGGCAAGTGCAAGGTCCCGAGTTCGATCCCTGGTACCACCAAAAAAAAAAAAAAAGTTGGGGGTTGGGGAGATGGCTCAGTAGAATAAGTGCTTGCCTGGCAAGCGCAAAGGCCTGAGTTCAATCCCCCCTTCTGCCAAAAAAAAAAGAATCAAGAATCTCAGAGAGGGCTGGTGAGATGGCTCAGTGGTCTAAAGCACCTACTTAGAACAAGCTAAGCCAAGCAAAGCACAGGGACCACGGTTCAATCCCCCAGCTCCACATGCCAGCCAGTCCCGCCCCCTGGTGGGCTGAGCTGGCCACACACATAACAAAATAAATAAATAAATAAATAAATAAATAAATAAATAAATATATATATATATATATATATATATATATAAAAGAATCTCAGAGAGGTGTGATTTTTTTTTTTTCCTCGAATGCCTTCAGGGCACTTTTGGCCAGCGGGAAAGCTGAGGCTGACAGCTTTGTGGAAGCAGCCACTTAAAGGCCTGAGCTAGGGCCAGGCCCCCGAGGTGTGATTTTTGTTTGGCACCAGGAATTAAACTCAGGACCTTGTGCTTGCCAGACTGATACTGTGTCACTGAGCTCTATCCCTAACTCCAGAGAGGTGCCTTTTTATAGTCCTGTCTCCACCATAGTATTTTTTTTTTTTTATTTTTTTTTTTTTTTGCGGAACCGGGAATTGAACTCAGCCCCTTGTGCTTGCCAGGGAAGCGCTTATTCCACTGAGCCATCTCCCTGGCCCCTACCATAGTATCTTGACTTGTAATGTTTTAGAGTTTGTTTTAGCGTTCCATATGTGGGGCTGGGGAGATGGCTCAATGGAATAAGTGCTTCCCCGGCAAGCACAAGGGCCCAAGTTCAATCCCTGGTTCTTCAAAAAGAAAAGAATTCCACACATTAAGCCTGGCATGGTGGCACACAGCAGTATACCCAGCACTTAGGAGACTGAGGCAGAAGGATCACTGGGAGTTCAAGGCCAGCCTGGGCCATATAGGGAGACCCTGTCTCAAAAAAACTCACTTCTTCCCCTTCCAAAAACTGTAATCCTGCAGGGTGAAGCTCAGTGGCACCCCAGGACAGGATGAAGTAGCTGTATGTCCCTATTTTTGCTGGAGCAGGGGTGTGTGTGAGAAGGCACTACAGACAGCAGGAGCCACACCAACTAGCCTGGAGGAGGCAGGCCAGGGCTGACTAGAGAACAGCAGCAAGCAAAAATAGAGGGTGCTGTCAAGGTTGGTAGTGTAAGGAGCAAGCCCCTTCACCTTTGATCATGTACATGGACAGGTAACACTGAAGACTGAGATATGGTAGATTGGCGAGACTTTTTTTTTTTTTTTGGCGGAACCAGGGATGGAACTCAGGGCCTGTGCTTGCCAGGCAAGCGCTTATGCTACTGAGCTATCTCCCTGGCCCCGGAGACTTTTTCTTCTTTGTACGAGGAATCAAACTCAGGGTCTTGGGGCAGGGGAGGTAGCTCAGTAGCATAAGTACCTGCCTGGCAAGCACAAGGTCCTATAGTGTGATCCCCAGTACCACACAATAAACAAACAAACAAACAATCAAACCTTAGGACCTTGCACTTGCCAGGCAGGTACTACACCACTAACCTATAACCCCAGTACAAGACTTTTTTTTGGTATTTTTATTTTTTGGGAGGGAAGGGTTTATAGTGTGTTCAGGGACTTACTACTAGATTGGACTCATAGTTATCCGCTTGTTTACAGCCACCCAAGAGCTGGGATTACAAGTGTGCACCACCACACCCAGTCTCAATTGCCGACTCGGTGTGTGGGGGTGGAGGGTCGCACAGCAGGCCAAGGGATTAAACCCTGGCCCTTGAGTATTTTTTTTATTTATTTTGCAAAAGCAGGTACTCAACCTTGCAAAAGTGGGTACTACCTGGCAGACAGGCACACCCTGGGCAGTCACAGCAAGCAATCTAACCCCTAGCATGCAAGTTATTTCCCTTTTTCCTCATTGGCTGAGTACTATGTGGGGTACAATCTTAATGGTCACCGCCTAGACCCTCGGCTTACTCCTTCTACAAACACTTTGTGGGGTTAAAGGCAAATGATTAAATCATAAGTGGGTAACTTCTAAAACTGTATTTTCCCAATCAAGAGTTAGCATAGTAGCTGGGCCTGGTGGTGCACTTCCACCACACAGGAGGCTGATGTAGAAGGATCACTGTGACTTTGAGACCAGCCTGGACTACAAAGTGAGCTCAAGGCCAGCCTGAGCTACATAACGAGAACCTGTCTCAAAAAAAAAAAAAAAAAAAAAAAAAAAAAAAAAAAAAAAAAAAAAGAAAGAAAAGAAAAAGACTAGTAAAGCTGTAATTTATTGACTGCCTATCTCTTCCTCCTTTGTTTAGGGGCCTCTGTGGTGGTACATACTGTAATCCCAGCACTCAGGAGGCTGAGGCAGGAGGGTTATTGCAAGTTTGTGCCAGTCTGAACTGCATAGTAAAACCCAATCTCATAAAAAAGATATAAAAAAAAGACAGATGCATACTCAGTCACAGCTGTAGGCAAGTAGGAAATTTTGTCTACTAACAGTTTTCTTCTCATAGTTAAAGACTTTTATCTTGAAAGTGGACCACTTTAAGTTTTTATTTCTTAGAGCAGGAGCAGAGCCAGTGGACAGGCAGGTAGGCAGGCTACAAAGTGAAGCTGTCTGGTCAGAAACAATCAGATCAGGTGTTTTGTGCTTTTTTTTTTTTTTTGGTACAGGGGATCAAACTTAGGACGTTGCACTTGACAGGCAGGAGCTTATGTCGCTAAGCTATATAACCAGCCCTCTTTTTATTTTTTTTATTTATGTGTGTGTGTGGCCAGCTCAGCCCACCAGGGGACGGGGCTGGCTGGCATGTGGTGCTGGGGGATTGCACCGCAGTCCCTGTGCTTTGCTAAGTTTGTTCTAAGTAGGTGCTTTAGACCACTGAGCCATCTCACCAGCCCCTCTTTTTATTGAGACAGATCTCCCTACATCACTACATTCCCAGCTTGGCTTGAACTTGGGATCTTCCTGCTTCAGCCTCAAAAAGTGCTGGAAATTATAGGTGTAGTCACAGTTTGCCATGCCCAGCTAGACTTGTTCTTCTTTTGTTTTGTTTTGGTGCAGGGTCTAAGCAGCTTGGACTCGTAGTGATCCTCCAGCACTGGGATTACAGGCGTGCGCCAACATGCCATCTTGGTGGCTGGCTCAGGGTGCCTGTGGGAGGGGCCAGTGCAGCATGTGTGCTGGGGATCAAACTCCAGTCTTGGTGCTCGCCTAAGCCTGAGCTGTCTCCCCAGCCCTAGACTTGGGTTTTAATAAGGTCCCCACATGGCACTTCCCCTCAACCTTCAAGTATGCGTACAACACAGCTACCCTGCACCTGTCCACGTTGGGATCCCATATAGTAACCTTGTCTTGCTCTTGGAAGTGGAGGCGTCAGCCCCATACTGGACTCCACCAAAATCAGGGGTTTGAGGTGCACCAAGACCCTGGATCTTCTGATCTTGCAGTCCAGGTACCTTTCCCAAATTAGCCCATGTACACCTTTTTTTACTGTTTGTTTTGAGACAAGGTCTCAGTGTGTAGTTTGTGCTTTGTACTCACTATGTAGCGCAGGCTAGGCTGGATCTCTGTGGGCCCAGCTTCCAAAAAAGTTTTTGTTGCTTTTGTCTTGGTATGGAGATCTAACCCAGGGCTTCATGTTGCTAGGTTGAGCTACATGCAAAGCTCCGGTCCATTGGTACCTAGCCTCACCCAGTGACCACTGGGCCACCCCAAAGAATAGACGTGTCAGCCTACCACTGAGTGGCTCTGGCTCATGGGGGTCCTTGCAGACAGAATCCCTTCTCTCTCCAGGGGGCTCCTCCCAGATTCTTTCTCATTTGGTGAGCTTTGATCTGCTTCTGAGTGCTCACTTTCTGTAAGAGGCACGGCAACATGGAATTTTAACTTAGAATTTCTTCTTTTAGAGACTAGCTGCTTCCCTGAGCCTTAGCTTAGAAAACTGCATTTTTCCCATGCCTGGGATTGAACTCAGGACCCTCCACTCAAGTAAGAGGCGCTCATGCTGTTGTGCTATGTCCCTGGCCCTCAGCTTACCTAGGCGGGCGGAGAAGCAGGGGCGGTTCCCTGCTACGGAGCAAGGGGCGGGAAAGCAGCGGGGAGCGCGCGCTGCCCGGCGTCCCCCCCCCCCCAGAGAAGAACCCGCGCTTCTGGACGGGATCGGGCGGGGTGCTGCGGTGTAAGCGGTCCACAGCCTCCCAGCTGTTTCTCCCTTCCTGCGGGGAACACCCCTTTCTTCGTCCTCCTGCCACCCCGGTTCCCGCTGCCTCTCGCGTCACGGCGGAGAGCCCTCTTTCCCAGGCGGCCCCGAGGTCCAAGCCGCGAGCAGATCGGAAGACCCGCTCGTAACCCGCCAAGTTTGTGCGCTGTCTCTAGCCCGACCCCGCCTTGACCCCTCGGGCGACCCCGTAGTCGTCCTCTGGCCCAGAGTTTCCGCGCCGCCGCCGCCCCGGGCTCAGCAGTTTGGTTCCTAGAGCGAAGCGAGCCGGAAGTGCGGCCTGACGGCGGCGCCGAGCTCCATGGAAACACCGGAAGCGTGCCTCTGCGCAGCACTCCGCTCGCGTCCGGCGGCGCTGGCCTTCGGTTCCGGGGGAGTCGCGGCCCGGAAGCGCGGCCTCCGCGGTGAGAAGGCTGCCGCTGCAGGCCCTGGCCCCTGAGCTGGAGTCAGAGGTGGGGTTGGCGGGCAGACCCCTGCCGCAGGGCCAGCGGGGAGGCCGAGGCGTGCGAGGGTGGGGCGCCCGCGCTGGGCCCCGGCGCACGCTGCGGCGCGAGAGGGCGCTGCGCGATCGGGGCGCGGAGGCGGGAAACTAGGTGGGCGCGGGCGAGAGCCTCCGGGGCGGCCGCGCGTTCGAGGGGAACCGGGGCAGAGTAGGCCGCTCGCGGGGGAGGAGGGCTGTGCAGCGCTGGCGCGGAGCGCGGGCGGCGCGGTGGTGCTCGGCCCGACCTGCGGGAGGCTCCGGGACCTGCGCAGCGCCGGGAAGCGGGAGGGCAGGCGGGGCGGGAGGTGGGGCCGGGCCCTGCGGCCGCGGAAGAAGCCCGCTCGCGAGCAACGAGCTCCGAGGCATTAGCTCGTGGCCCTGGAGGACTCTGAAATAGGGGGGCCCTGGCCGTCTTCGTGGGGGCGATACGGGGAGAATGTGGAGGCCTGGCAGCGTTCGTTACTGCGCCAGCCCGGGCCAGCCCGGGTCATGGAAAAACGAGGTTCTGCCCGAGCTGCCGCGAAGGCCGACTCCAGTGGACCCCGATGTACTACCGGGGCAGGGTTAGGTGGGGCTCCACTCTGCGTCTGTGGCCGTGGCGTATAGGCCGGGGAGCGTTGTGGGTCTGGCGTGCGACCTGTGCCAGGCTTTCCTTTAGACCTCAAGTGTGCGGCTGGTGCAGGATAAGCTATATGTATCACCTCTGCCTAATAGGCAGGAACCAAAGCCACAGTTAACGCGGTGGCCTCTTGATTCCCCGAGGCCCCTGAGTTTGCACTCCCTGCCCAGGGGCCTCTGAAGTAAGGGAAAAAAATACACGGCCCTGGGGCCGGGGAGATGGCTCAGTGGAATAAGCACTTCCCTGGCAAGTGTGAGGTTCTGAGTTCAATCCCCGGTCCTGCAAAGGAAAAAAAAAAAAAAAACACACAAAACACGGCCCTGCCTAGTTTGCAGCTAGCTGCAGTTTCTCCCTCACCTATCCTGGGGCCCACATGCCCCTCTCTAGGCCCTACAGATGCTTGGAAGAGCCAGGCTGTGTCTTTCCTTAGGCTAACACCTGCCTCTGGGGCAGCAGGCAGCTCACTTTCCAGTCCAACACCCTCAGGTCTCTGACCAGGCACACTCCAGATCAGTGTGCCCAGCCAGCCCCACCCCCACCTCCACCCTTCACACTTTTCTGGGAAGATCTGTGTGCCTACGAGTTAGTGTGACTGGATTCTGAGGCAGTAGCCCTAGGTCTGCCAGGGAGTTAGCTTTGCACTGAGGTTGAGAAGTGTGATGGGAAACGCAGAGATGTCAGCTATCCTGTCTGCCAGAAGGTCTTTTCTGAGTGAGGCAGACAAAGAAAGAAAGAAAAAAAAAAAATCCATCACAACTTTACCGGGATCCATTAGCTCAGTTGTTTAAGTGCCTTCTTAAGCAAAGCAGTCAGGCTCAGGATTCTGTGGTTGGATCCCCAGATCCTCATGCTTCACCAGACCTGCCCTTAAGGCATCCTGAGTCTGAAAAAATATATCTATATCTATATCTCCATATGAGTGAGGCAGCGGAGCAGGTTGTGCACAGGGTTCCCCAGCCTATTCCCCACAAGATCCTCCCTGGAGAAGGAAGCATGGGATAGCATAAGATTACTGGAGTGGTCCAAGGAAGCTGGTAAAGGGGGTAGTAGACCGGTTCAGAGCTGCAAGGGGACTCTTCTGTGCTCTGTGCTTTGGGGCAGCTAGAGAAGGGAGCTGTGGACATGGCCTAGGATGCTACATACGCGAGGACCTGTTTTGCGATGAGGGATGAGGTGCAGGGTGGGGAAAACCCTTGACTGACCTCCCCTCACCCTGCAGATGGCGGCTGCGGAGGCAGTGCACCACATCCACCTGCAGAACTTCTCCCGCTCGCTGCTGGAGACCCTCAACGGGCAGCGGCTGGGCGGGCACTTCTGCGATGTGACCGTGCGAATTCGCGAGGCTTCACTGCGCGCACACCGCTGTGTGCTGGCCGCTGGCTCGCCCTTCTTCCAGGACAAGCTGCTGCTTGGTCACTCGGAGATCCGCGTGCCCCCGGTGGTGCCTGCGCAGACGGTGCGCCAGCTTGTCGAATTTCTCTATAGCGGCTCGCTGGTGGTGGCGCAGGGCGAGGCGCTGCAGGTGCTCACTGCCGCTTCAGTGCTGCGCATTCAGACGGTCATCGACGAATGCACCCAGATCATTGCCCGCGCCCGCGCCCCCAGTGCCCCCACGCCCTTGCCTGTGCCCCCACCGCTGGCCCCCGCACAGCTGCGTCACCGCCTGCGCCACCTGCTGGCCGCGCGTCCCCTGGGACCCCCAAGTGCAGCGCACAGCCGCAAGCAGCGCCAGCCCGCGCGCCTGCAGCTACCTGCGCCCCCAGCGCCTTCCCGTGCTGAGGGACCCACGGCCAGCCCCACCCTGCCCGCTGCGCCTGATGACAGGGGTGATGACGACGAGGACACTGAGGACAGCGATGGTGAGGATGGTGAGGGCTCTGCGCCTCCTGCCTTCCCTGACTGTGCTGCCGGTTTTCTCCCAGTCGCAGCGGACGCAGCGCAAGAGGAGACCCCTCAGCCGCCTGGCCTCTCCGACCACAGTGGTGCCGGCAGGGACTTCCTGCGGGGGGCTGCGGCGGCCGAGGATGTGTTTGTGGACGGCTTTGTGTCCACCTGGCGGGAGGAGGAAGGCTCCGTTACAGAAGGTGGCCCTGCTGAACCAGCTGCACCTCCATCTGACTGCGCGCTAGCTGGGCCACGCCCGCCACCACCTGTTGCTAAGACCTCAGGGCCCTTGGCCTCGCTCTTCCCCTTCCACCTGGGAGCCCCTGGCCCGCCCGCACCCCAGGGGCCTTCCTTCTACCCCGCACTGCAGCCTGAAGCTCCCAGCACTCAGCTAGGGGATGCTCCGGCCCCACCAGCCCCGGTAGTCCCGCCTGCCTATGAGTGCAACCATTGCCACAAGACCTTCAGCTCACGGAAGAACTACACTAAGCATATGTTCATCCACTCCGGTGAGTGGGCCCTTGGAAGGGGCAGCCCCTGGTCTTGGAAATCCCAATGCCAAGGAAGTGGGTATGATTTTTGGTTTCACTGTTTTGTGGTAGCCCCAGGGGTCTTGGAAATTGAGCACCCCAAATGCACCACATGGAGCAGCAGGTGCTGTGGGGGTAGGAGGGGTATAGTCTGCCCAAGGGCTTTGGAAATCTAGGGAGGTGGAGGCCAGACCTAAGGGCCATTTCAGGACAGCAACAGGCTGGAGGTGAGGTGGGTGGGTCCTCTGGGGGGGGGTCCCTCCTGACTTTGGCCAGATCAACGAGATCCCTCCAAGGGGCAGTGAGAAGCAGAGTCTCAGGGAGGTATGGCTGAAGGTGGTAACTGGCGGCTCATCCAGTCTGCAAACCTCATTGCCAGGACAACCTCAGTTGGAAGGCCCCAGTGGGGTGCAAGAGATGTTCTTCTCATGCAGGAGTGAGTGGTAGGGAAGCTAGTGGTGCTCTAAACAGAGTGATGGAGTATCTCAGTGACTGAGATCTGGGCCAGGGAGCATGAGAGCTCAGTAACTGGCCTGCAGAAGGTTGCCTAGGACCCCCTCCCCAGTTTTGTCAGCCAGAGCCAGTCCCCAATACCCCAACAGTCAGTGCCCTATAGACCCGTTCTTGGTACACCTTTTAGCACTTGATGACTCTAAGGCAGTGGTGGTGAACCTGTGGCACACGTGCCACGGTGGGCTGTTTATACCATTGAAAATTCTAAAAGGTTCATCACTCTTCTGGGGGAAGACAGAAGCTACTGCCTCTTTTCTAGAAGGGTGAGGCAGCCTGCACTTTTACCCTAGAGACTTTATGGTAGCCATAGGCAGGAGTTCTGGACAACTGAGGCTTCCAGAGGGAAGAGGCCAAGGTGTCCCTGGTTTCTCTTTATGTAAGGGTGCTGCTGCACCTTGTGGACAGTCCTCAAAACAGTGACTGATAGACCAGATTTAAAAGGCTCTGTGGATACCTGGGGCGGAGGCAGGACCAGGCCAGGTATGGGTGGGCAGTAGGGTCCCTGTTGGATGCTGGGATCCCTGCTAGGCTGTGGCATCCTAGGATAGCTGTGGATCCAGGAAAGGGGGTACCCTGCAGAGCAAGAGACTTCAGGCCTGGGGAGGGCAGCTGGGCTGACCTCCACTGCCTGTTGTTCTCAGGGGAGAAGCCACATCAGTGTGCCGTGTGCTGGCGATCCTTCTCCTTGCGTGACTACCTGCTCAAGCACATGGTCACGCACACAGGTGTGCGTGCCTTCCAGTGTGCCGTCTGCGCCAAGCGCTTCACGCAGAAGAGCTCGCTCAACGTGCACATGCGCACACACCGGCCCGAACGAGCACCTTGTCCTGTCTGCGGCAAAGTCTTTTCACACCGAGCTCTGCTGGAGCGCCACCTGGCCACACATCCTGCGCCCTGACTGACCACACCCCTCCTGTGCTCCCACTGCACTCCCCAGCCTGGCCCCTTTTTTCTGTGCACAGTTCCAAACTGACCTGGAGTCCTGAACCAGAGTAATACAACTTGGGATCCATGACCTCTCAGGTTGTCCTGGGGTTTGGGTCAGGACGAGGCCAGTATCTCCCATCTGGACCTTTATCCTCGTTCAGTGGACTCCTGAGATGTTGTGGACCCATCATGGATAGATTCAGGTAGACTCAAGACTATTTAATAAAGTTTATTGGGCCAGGGCCCACTTCTGCACTTGCTGGGCTGGGGGCATTGGGGCTTCTGCTTGTTTTGGTATCGGGAACCAAACTCAGGGCCTCACACTTGCCCAGGCGGGTGCTGTGCCACTGAGCTGTATCCCTTGCCCCTGAATCCTTTCCATATCACATTCCTGCTCCACCTTCTTTTGGGCTGGGGAAGGAGGTCTTTGGGGCCAGGCTGCGTGAGCATTGATGAGCCCTGCCTAAGCTGCCCCGGCTACTGGGTCCTGAGGATGAGCGCAGAAAGGGTGGCCACATGGAGCGTGGATGCAGCAGACCCCAGGGCGGGGGCTGAAGATGTGAACCCCAGAGGCTCAGGACCCACTAGACCATGGACTGGGGGGGGCTTCTGTTCTGTCACCAGTCAAGGCCGGAAAGATTCACTTGAGATTGAGCCCCAGGACTGTCCTGACATACCATTACTATTTCAGTAGCATAAGGAGCTATTATTTTTTACTGGTTGCTGGGACAAAATACCTCACACCCCAAATTAAGGAAGGAAAGGTTTATTTATACTCACAGCTTGTGGGGGGTTTCAGTTTATGTTTAGATGGTCCCCAGGCAGAGTAGCACTTGGCAGAGGGCAGCAGTTATGGCAATAGAAATCAAAGAACAAAGGGAAGGGCAGCCGCCTGGCTTCTCTCCAGCCTCTCTCCTGTTATGAACAAGCTCCCTGTCCAGTGCTCCTCTTGCACAGGAAGAGCATGTTTACAAACTAAGAACCCTGGCGCTCTGCTCAGTCACTTAATGAAACTTCTCAAGTTGACACAAAGAAGCGATGCTAGAAGTTCGGCTCTCCAACGCAATAGCACATAAAACCCAAGTTCCCCAAAAGTGTAATAGTGCACACTACTTCACACACGAGCTGCGAATGTGTGGGTTATATAACATAACTGACAGAAGGCCTAAGCGGAAAGCCTGAGTCCAGCCATCTCGGGCGGGCGGGCGGGCACCCTGAGCACACACGCTATAGTTACCTATGAATTCAGATGGTTCCCTTAGCCAGAAGTGGGAAGCGTTGTATCCAGGATGCGTAGTAGCATAGGCTGCAAGAAGACGCCACTAGTAGATGTCTTGTGGGGATTTGGCTTGGTTCTGTCCAAGTGTAGGAAATCTTAGGCATCAAAACATACGACAGGGCTGGGGAGATAGCTCAGGGCCTGAGTTCAATCCCAGTTCCACAAAAAACAAAAACCATACGACACCGGTCCTAGGCCTTAGGGGCCCACTGGGCAAAGTGCTGCGCTGCTGCAGGTATGTCTCAGCTTTGCCAAGGTGGGAATCTGGGCAGTTCTGTTCTGGGGCTTAACTGGCCAACCTTGGACCCATCTT